TGACTGAAAACACCATATTAGTCTGGTCAGAGGACAGTGGCCAGGCTCACAGAATCAAAGCTCACAGCTATACACAAGCGCAAATATCACATCAGTGCAACTGTAGCTTGTTTGATTGCTTAAATTGCTCAGGTATTGCTTTGCAGAGATATACCTATAATGCTTTTAGTTTGTGTATCTTAAAACTTTTGATTGGTTTTCTTTGGAAAAAAACTCAGCCAGGAATTATATTTAAGCAGCATATAATGTCTATGAATTTCCATCGCTTATGATTATCATTTATACTTTTATGGTATGATATATAATGTGATATCTGCATTTTTCCTGACTACATTCTGGGGTAAAATGTCTGTATTTTTAAACTTCACATTTAAAATGTCATGTTGTGTTAAGGGGAAGATGTTAATTAAAAGCAATAAATTGAATAGAAAAAGCTATTATGCCTGTTCCTGTTGATTTAAGGCTTAAATACCCCATGATGATGTCACACAGGACGTCCCCTGTGCAGCCTGACACCCCCTTCAGGCAGCACAACCTCTTTGCACATTTTTGCAGTGACTGTCATCAAATCTTTGCAGCATTAATTTTAGACCAAAGGAGACCTGAGTAAACAAACAACAAGTAATTTTCATGCTTTTTAGTAACACAAAGAATTTGATATCCAGTGCCTCTGTGGGGAAAAGTAATGTAAAAATAATTGCCACATTACAGTCAGTAACTTGTTGTCTTACTTTTAGTAGACTTTAAACACCTGCCGTTGTTAATGATTAGTCTCTCATTACAATCTGGAGCCGTTTTGGCCCGTTGACACTCAGAAATCATTGACACTCAGGGTTTGCCTTGACGTCTTCATTCAATTTCGTTTTGTTTGGACGATATCTGAAGCGTGCTTCCACCTTTATGGAGCCGACTTGCTCATTTCTTGTCAGTCGTCATCTTGCTACTCCACCGATCTGTTCCGAATGTTCCCCTGAAAGATTTTCTGGTACAGAAATAGCATTTGGTTTGCTCCAAACATAATGTTCCCCGTGCTAACTGACAGTTGTCAGGAATTTCATTTAGGTGGGATAAATACCTATAAAGGCTGCATGCAGACATCCTCACTCTGTAACACTGCTGGTCAACCCGTGAAGTGACAAAAGTAGTAAGGGGTGTGGAGAGGTGGCAGGCCTCCCATACAGGTGTAGTTTGCCTCCAAGCTAAATCTGTGCAGATTCTGGGTCGGCCATTTCACCACTCTAGTGTCCTCAGCTTTGAGGAATTTCTTCAGCCGTTTTGCAGTGTGGTGAGGGACATTGTCTTAAAAAAAACGACTGGCTGATTGGGTGATGTATACAGACCAACTGCACTCGTTCAGAACTCTGGACTGATTCTGGTGCAGACTCTCCTGCCCGAATGTCATTGGAGATGCAGGCGGATCTGACCCAGAATCAGCTGCTATGTGGGATGTCTTTGCATTTCTGCAAATCCTATTCTGAAACCATGGCGGTTACGTTAACCAAATACTTTCCATCATTGACCAAAGATTTTTAATAATGACAGGACAATCTGAAAGCCATATGTAATTTTGACATATTACTGTGGGCAAGCTGCACTAATAACTTAAGTACTTTAAGAAATTCACACCCCTGTCCAGTAGGTGGCAGAATTGCATAATACCTGCTGTCTAACTTTTTTTTTATTTTCTGCCTAATGTCTGTTCTGGGCCTGTAATGTTGGCCAAACAATCTGCCTAGAGCTGACTAATCATAAAAAGGATACAAAGTCCAGTTTACTGAGAGTTATGCTGTGCTTTTATTCTGGCCTTTGCTTTTCATTGCTGTATTCTCTCCACTGTGTCTTACTCGCGTACTTTTGCTGCTGTTGCAGTGTGAGGTCTCCATGGAGCCCGTGACTCCTTACTTGTGCAGATATAAAGGTTATGTGTTCGGAACAGGACTGACCACCCCAGAGTACATCGATTCCCTGCAGACCTTTGAAATACGGGACAGTGACATTTTTCTTGTCACTTACCCCAAGTCAGGTGAGTGATAACTACAGATTTTTTTTGTAATCAGGATCATATGAAAAATTAATCTTTTGATACAGACTACAAGCAGGATGCATCTGTAAAAGCTGGATGTTGTGAAACTGTGGTGTAATGATACTTAAAGCATGATGATGGATTCTGAGTTGTAGATAAACACTCACTGCTTACTGACCATAATTACATTAACACTTTATTTATTTAGTGGACACTTTTATCCAAAGCAATATAGAGTTATGGAAGCTCGGCCAGTCTGTCCCCGGGAGCGTTTGGGGTTTAGGGCAAATCACACGGTAGATTATGGGATTTGAAAAGACGACCTTCCCGTCACATCTGCAGAGCCATATACTGTCCGCAATAACAATAATAATAATAGAAGCTATTTTGTTTTTATGTGACAGCTAATGTCATTTAGTTTAAACCCGCAAACTGTCTCTTTCTCCCTCAGGCACCGTATGGACCCAGCAGATCATCACGCTGCTCATGGAGGAGTCCGGCGCGGGCGACGCCTACACTACCAACCTGGACAAGATGCCGTGGCTGGAATATCCTGACGGCCGACCC